TCCCTTCCCGCTTCCCCTGCTATACAGTATAAAAAAGATTCGCCGCTTTCACTCGGGGCTCCTTCGCCATTGTGTGAAGAGAGTCCCTGCTCCAGCTTGTAATGAAGTTCCTCACTGCATTTGCATCGATCCGCGGCTCCTGTCGTGTTTCGTGGGATTCCGTGATCCGGGTACAACAAATCCTAGACAGTTTTTCCTTCAAGTCAAGCGTCTTGTTGTTTAAATAAACTTGTTTACAAAAAAAAAAAAAAAACCCAAAAACTGGCAGGAACTGGCAGGGCGGAGTTCTTAAGTCTTACATTCACTATCTCCTTGTTCCTACTAACCTTCAAACAAAATCAATATCTTTTTTTCCCCAAGAATATCTTAATTCATAAAATGTTTTTTTTAATAAAAAATATTAAAGTTAATACACCCACAGGAAAAGTACATAAATTATGAGTATACAGCCTGACGAATGATCACAAAGAAACCTAACAGGTCAGCTACCTAAGGCTGGGGCAAGATTGCTGTCGGGGGTGCCCGGCCCCTCTCAGGCCTCTCCCTCCCCTTCCTAATGAGAACACCCTTCAGACTTCCAACACTCATTCATTCAATTCGGATTTATCAGCCAGGGACCGGAACTCTTCAGTCCTGGCAGGTGTTACAAACCCAAGCAGGAAGGCTGATCTTAGGAAGCTTCCTGTCAGAGGGCTGGCTTTTCTGGGGAGGGACATATTTCAGACAGAGTTTGGGGGCGTGTGTTGCAGGGAGAACTCTCTGAACTTTCTGAGACCCTTATTGATGAGTGTTGCCTTTATTACCTTGTTTGTTTAAGCACATTCAGCATTTCATAACAGAGCAGATGGAGTCACAGCCAGAATCTCTTTGCTGCCTGACACATGAGAAGTAAGAGGCCCGTCCTGCTGGCACGAGGTCCCCGACAGCCAGCCTCTCCAGTGCTGAGCTGTCCCTGACATCCCTGGGCAGAGCAGCTCCTGCCCACCTACAGGGCAGGGGTTTTCTCTTCCTCCCCTTCATAGGGGTTCTAGGGCTGAGTTAACTGGACCTTTCTGAGTTGGGGAATGGGGAACAAATGTAAAACATATGTTTTCCCCCAGATATAAGAATGCCATTTGGTCTTAGGAATATTTTTTATGCAGCTTCTATTATCTGAAAGTTAGGGATATGGTGCCCATTCCCTTGCCTATGAAATCAATAGTCTTAATGGAGAGGCAGAGGGCAGCTGGTTTCCTAAAATGCCAGCCCTTCGCCAAATGTCCTCAAAATCAGGCTACACCGGTACTTTGCCTTCCAGCTTCTCTACAAAATCCTTGCCAGAATTCAGGCCAGGTATCTCAGGGACACCATGACGAGTGCTGACTCGCTCCATCTTTCACCCTTAAAGAGCTGATGTGACTTCCCAACTCCTCCCCATAGGAAGTAGCCAGGCCTTTGGCGGGGAAGGAGGGCAAGCCTGGGCAGCCCTGGAACACTGTGACCAGTGGTTCAGCCACATCCCTTCAACAAAATGTACTTTAAATATATTTTTATGATCAGCTGAGTTCTAAATTACAGCCATGCTGAATAAGAAGAAAGTGAACGTATGATTAGTAATTTCCGTATGGCAGAAAGCACCAAATAGTCTCTGGCTAAGGCCCAGGGCTCAACAAGGACTGTTCTTTCAGTAAAAAGGAATACAGAAAATGGCCTTTATTCCAAAGTCAAAGCCACAGGCCATGACCTTCTCTTTCCTGCACAGTAATAAGTCTTGCCTCATGAGGAAGTGGTGAAGGAAAGAAAAGATGAACTTAGGAAAATGCTCCAAGAGCTGTCTGCCTGCTTAACTTCCATCACTCATTCATGTACAGAGCCACCTCCTCCTCCTATACCATAAACACAGAAAACAGATCCTGGGCAGCCCTGATCCCTGGCCGTCTGGTAATGACTATTCCAGGAGATGCAGAAACGTCACTGAACGTGGAAAAATGCCACACGAAGACTACTCACCAAAAATAAATGATTCAATGTCAGGTTTCTTGTTTGGCTATAGGTCTCCCCACCCCACCTAACTTGTTTGGAAAAGAACATATGAATAGCATCTTATAATTCAGGAATGATAACATTCTCGGTGTGGACCAATGGCCACACTGGGAAACACTTGGGATGCTTTGATAACAGAGCAGATTCTCAGACCTTAAGAATTGGAATCCTCAGGGTGGGGCCCAGAATTTGCATTTTCATCAGCTCCTTCAGGAAATTCTTATGCATGCTGTGAACCAATTACACAAAAGCCTCAACAAAAATAAAACTGTCTCTACTTGCAACAGGCTCCCTGGACCCCAAAAGGTTTTAAATCATTAGGATTTAAAGAAATGTTATTTCCTTTGAGGGAAAAAAAAATAGCAGTTTTCTTACCTGATTCTATCTGCAAGAGCTGTTATATATCTGCAGTATTTCATTATTATTAATACAAAAGTCTGGGATAAAATTCTTCTTATTAGTGTACTGGTAACTTATAAGAAGGGTCCAGTACTGCATGTATTTTGGGGACTACTGCCAAGAGCAAGGCCTCCTCCCCCATAGTAAGCACAGGATTTAGTCCATTTAATCATGATGGTGGAGGACAAGGGGTCAGTTTTGCTTTTTTTTTTTTCAACACTACAGTCTCCAGTTTCCTGCTGCTTTATACCTTTTGTCTTGGGGAGGATTCTAGGTTAGCCTCCACATTTCTAGGACAAGGATGTCCGGGAAATTGGCTCTCTTGTCACTTAAAGGTTAAGCCTTCTCTTCACTAAAGCTGGACAATACACTGAGGAGTCTCCAGCCCTCTGTTGCCCTCACTTGGGGACTGTGCCCAAGTCTCCTGCCACAAATCCCTTTATGGAATGGTGCCTCCATAAATCGCAGCTGTCCCAATGGGAGAAGTCAGGCTGGTTTTATAGTGTGCCAAGATCCCAAGATAAAAAGCATTCTAAGTGCCCAGAGCTAGCAGAGCAAACAAGCCAGCATGTGTTACCCAGAAGTTAGCTCCGTAAATACCTTCTTCGAGATACAACAAGCACTCATTTGCTTCTGCAGAACTCAGCATAAGAAACCTGAAATGCAGCACGCAGATGTAGGAATTCATTTTCTAATGCGTGGAAGGTATGAGTGCCTTCCATTCTCAAATGAAACAAAGAAAATTCTGAGGACTGCAAACCACCTGAGATACTTCCTTGCTCAAAAGGCGTGTCATGCTGTTAAGTGGCAGAAAACTCACAGCCCCACTTCTCCTCAAACACCAACTCTTCCACTTTAATTTATTGTCCTATTTCAGGTCTGAAGGAACCTGGGTTTGAATAACTATCTGAAATGAAATTTAGCACAGATCCCAGAGCAAGCAGATCCATCATGGGAGGGAAAGGGGTGCTCGCGACTCCAAGTACCTGAGCTCTCACTTTTCTGGTTCAGTGATGCGTCTCCAATACACTTGGGCTCTCATAAATGGCACCGGTTAAAGTTCACCACCAGCAATTGTGCCAAAACACAGTTGCATTTTGGCTACCATGCTTCTTCATTTCATATGAGAATCATTCCCTTCACCTTTTACAAAGTATCTGAAAACAGGTGCTGCTGAGCCAACAGCACAGCTGGAAAAATGTGTGTATAGTTTCATCTTTCCTTTCTCATCCCTGCAGGTTTCAACCAGTCACCCAGCAGCTGCCCCCCAAACTAGAGTCAAGGACCAGTGCTTCTGCACCAGAGAAGAGTTAGCTTAGGAGTTAACTGTGAGGTTACCTGTCTGATGAATTGTCTGCCTAATTAGGCCTTAAGTCTGAGACTCCTGCTGGGCAACCTGAGTAATGAGCAGAGCTGGAGATGGAGTCAGGCGCTTGGAGGCGTCTCCTTTTGCTGGAGCCTAAGACGAGTGGACAGGGCACTCACCCTCCGCCCATCAGCTTTCACTGCCACTGCTGTAAGTCAAAAGGATCAGGCAGACAGCTGTCAGAAATGAAGCAGGGACAAGTAAAAGAGCTTAATGAAATTTTATTTTGAAAATATGGCAAGAGTCTAAGGCACTTCAAACATTTAAATACATATAAGACCAAAGTAAATGTGACATGGGATAAAGGAATCCATAAATACATGGAGAACTACACTATGTTTCTCTAGAGGCCAATGGATAGCCAATTTCTCTAACACAATTCAACTTTCATCATTAGACACAGAATTGTGCAATTATTAATAAAAATACGGCAACATTACATGTCGTTCTTCATGTCTTCAGTTACTATGGAATATAAAAGTTCAAAATACTGTGTAAATTTTACATAGATACCCTTTGTATAAAATGTCATATAATACAGCCACCTAGATAAAACCAACTGAATAAACTTCCTTTTGTTAAGTTTTATACTTATTGAGACATTCCACCTTTTATTTTTAAAACCAGAAACCTACCAGCCCAGGCCTGATTCATTCATGATCAAAGTCATCAACTTCCTTATTTCAAAATAATAAAGACAAAAGGAAAATCAACAAAACCATCCTGGAATGGAGCTTTCAAAGAACTTTCCAATGGGTCCACATTTAGTAAATATACCAATGGGTCCACATTTAGTAGATATAAATACTTGTGGAAAAGTTTTAAAAACACCATGCCAGTGAGAACTTGATACTTTTCAGCAGTGGTGGGGGTGTGGAGAGCAGGAACAGAAGTAACAGAAGTCACCCACTCAGGTCAGGTTACAATTTCCTACAACTGTACATAACGGAGCAGAGACTCAACAGCAAGTGTGCCCTACACAGAGGGAAGATGGCCAGAAGGGAGGCGTGTGTGCCTAGCCAGAAATCTCTTGCTGGCTCAGCTTCCACTGGCAACTCCAGCCTTCAGCCCCTGGCTTTCTGTGTTCTGTTTGCTGGTGAGTTCAGGCACAATGTACATTCAGCATCTGTCAGCCCAACAGGAACAATTAGCAGCTTAGTGGTGGCATGTAAATGGACGGCTATTTGCACACAATCAGTCAAATGACCCTCGGTGGGTGGGACCAGGAGATGTCTTCCTTCCAAGTCTAGGGGTGCCCTAGAGACCAGGAAAGGAAAGGAAAAAAAAAAAACTGGGGGTTAATCAATGACCTCAGGTAGATGCGTCCTCTGTGACACAGGAACTCCATAAGTACCACACATGAGCCAGAGCCAGGAGGGCTGGAACCCCATACACAGTCCTCCAGCGGGAGCTGCTCTCAGGCCAGTGGGCTTGGCAGAGCCACCTCCAGCTGTCCTGGGAAGTCAACTTCCTGCTGAGAGGGAACACTGGGACCACGGGCTGCTGCTCACTGTCTGCTTTAAGAAAGATGCCAGGAAGGCAATGTGCATTTATGGGCTCAAAATGTGCCATTTGGGTAACTCTGTCCAGAACAAACCCTTCCCGTGAAGAGTGTGAGGACAAGCAGGCATCCAGCCTCTGCCGTGCTAACCATTAGCACTCCTGGCCCTCTGGGTGGGGCAAAAATGATGAATTCTTATACTCTAGATTCAAACTTTGGTTTTCAGAATCATCATGAAACCTGCGGGTCCTGTCAGTTCCCTGAGGAAGGGGGCCAACTAGTCTGGTGGCTGTCAGCCTGTGTACGAACGCCAGGTGGACAACACTGACCGGAGACTGGGCTTTGGCGAAGTTGACGTGGGCGTACAGCAGGACGGCAATGTCCTTGTGTCCGGCTTCCAGGGCGATCGAGAGCGCAGTGCTGCCATCCTGGAGACGAGACGGAAACAAAGCAGGCTGGGTTTCTCAAACTTCCCGGTAGCCAAGAGCTAACAGCACCGGTCCCTCTCAAATGGGTAAGGCTCCCCAGTCTAGCTGTTTGTTCAGTTCTTTAGGAAACTCTCTGGACCTCTTAGGCACCAAGCCTGAAGGATGTCAGGATGATAAAGGCACAACCCCTACCCCACCCTCAGACAAGGATCAGCCCGTTGCCAGTGTCATCGCCTCACGGTGGTCAGTGTGTATGTCTGCACACAGGGAAGTCTCAATAAAAACAGGCTGCCCATGAAGGGCTCTTAATTCACTCAGCTAGCCCACAGGCAGGGGGCAGTAGGCAAAGGCAGGGATAGAAACGTAACTTTTGTTTTCTTCTTATAATTACAAATGAGCCATCAAGCAGCGTGGTGTCTGTTCTGATGTCCTGCAATTTGCCAAGAATCTCTTAACTTTCCTCTTGGGGAGGGAGTGGGTCCTACAGCCCTAACCACCCTTGTAGAACACTCCAAGTCACACCTACATTTAAGCACTGAATCCTGCTGCTTCACAGGAATATATCTTATGGATATACGAGGGGAAACACTAAATATGGGAAAGAAAATTTTAAGTTAGGATTCCATTAAAATGCAGGAATTTAGATGGATATAAAAGTAAAGTTATGAACAACCTAGACAGCATATTAAAAAGCAGAGACATTACTTTGCNCTGCCACTCTGAATTCTGGGAGTTACTTTTCTTCCAGAGGCTAGCTGGATAGCCTCCTGCTCCTTGAAGGCTAAGGAAGCAAACAGGGGACCAGGATTTCTGGAAGTCACTGTGGCTTGATGGCCTCTTATTACGAGATCTACAAGCTGTTCTTTGCTGAGAGTAGAAGAGCAAACAGAATCAAGGCACATGAAACACAGACTGCTTTTAAGGAAAGAGAGCGGGAAGCTGGCCCTCCCCCGCAGCGGATGTGAAAGGAATCTGGAGCAACCGCAGCTCACGTGCTCCTGGGGAGGTCATTGCAACTGCGGACGCCAGTCAGTCCTCCCTGCCAGTGAATGCCTGCACTGACTGGCTCTTCCTGCTGGTGTGGGCCTACCAGGATCTCAAGTGTAGCGCAAAGGAGAATGTTTTCCCTCTAATCTTTTAGTACTTGGGGCCAATGGAGGCCCCGGTTTCAACCTGTGCTCGAGAGAGATAAACTTTCAAAAACAGAACCAACCCAGCCAGTCCTCTGGGACCTTTGGACCTCTGAATCTTGTCACCACCCAAATGTTAGTTCCTGTGCCATGACCTATTGGTTCTCCTCCTCTTTGGTCTGGAGACACCCAGAACAGCAGCTTTCCTCAGAATTTTTTCCAGTTTTCCAGTCAAGGGGTTATCTGGGAATGGGAAAGTTTGGGAACTGGGAGAGGAAGGAGATGAAAGCAACAATGATGGGAACAGCCCGAGAAGGAGTGGGAAAATATGCTGAAAGCTAGCCAAGATAGTCCGGATCCCCTAGCTGTTGAAAGGGCACAAATTATTCACTCGATGGGCCCCAGTGAAGGGTTTCCAAGTGGGCTGGGGGTGGGGTGGGGGGGGAGCTGGTCCTCTTCATTCCGTGCACCTGGCAGTGTCCTACACCGAATTCGTTTCTGCACTGTGGATCTGTTTACCTCCCTTTAGTAAACTGGTTCTCATACATGCCCATCACCTTCTTCCTTTTATAAATTTTGGAGTGAGGCCTATTTCTCTTTCTGCCCTTGGCTTCAGTTAATGGGAATAATAGTCTGTACACAGAAGATGCTGCCAAGCTGGGCTGTGAAGGGAAGTGGCCTGGATGACAACACAAATCCCTGAGGAGGATAAAGGAGCACTTGCTCTCTCCCCTGGTCAAGCAGCACCGCCTCTCCCCCAGGTCCCTGCATGTCACTGGCCTGGAGGCTCCACCCGTGGAGACAGCTTACATTGTCCTCCAGGTGGCCGTTGCAGCCTGGCTGGGCCAGCAGCAGCTTGACGATCTCCACATGCCCATGCTCACTGGCACACATCAGGGCGGTGGAGCCCTCATCGTCCTGAATGTTGACATCAGCCCCGCAGGCCAGCAGGCCCTTCACCATGTCAATCCGCCCATGACTGACCGCCAGCATGAGGGCTGTCTGTCCTGCCTGTGAGGAGAAACAACAGCGGACTTGAGAAGCACATGGTGGGTTGGCAGGGTGTGACCCACAGTGGGGTTGTGCTGGGGGAAGGGAAGCAGGAAGAATGATGCTGGGAAAGCATCGACAGGAAGTACTTGGGGCTGGGTGGTGGCAAGCAGGGAGAAACTCACTTCTTGTGAGCTATGAAATCATAAGTAAGACCCTAAAGTCATGAGGCAGTTTTCCCTTTGGCTTGGAGGATCCATCTCATGATAGCAAGGAGCTACAAAGTTCAGAAGATGGTCACAAGTCAACTGTGATCACATCTGGGTGAGGGGCCCTGTGCAGGCAGGAAGACACTGTGATCTGGAGACAGTCAGGGAGCAGCGGCCACTGGGTAGATGGTGGAGACTCCCAGTCACTCACAGGCAGGCTGACCCACGATTCACGTGCACATGGCTTCAAACAGATGTAATGCAAGGCAGAGAAGGGAGAAGTTTCCACTGTGTGGTTAAGCCAGCGTTTCATGGGTGTGTTTAGTCATCGAGGACCACTGGGCAGCCACACGGACTGTGCTCAGTGGTTAGGAGCGTGGCAAGGGCACTTGTGCAGGTCACAGCTATGCCAGCTAGCACAGAATCTGCAAGTAAGTGTGCTCACCTGGCTGGCTTTGGCGTTCACATCCCCACAGGCGAAGAGCTCTTCCACAACTTGCATGTCTTTCTCTGCTTCCACGGCAGCAAGGGCTGCCAGCATGATGGGGGTGTACCCTGCCTTATTCTGGTGATCCACATTACACACGTCTGCAAAAACATGAGTCTCTTGAGGCAAGAGCCAGTCTTTTAACAGCATCAATTGTCCTCCTAAACTGAAGGTATGGAGTATGGGAGAGCCCAGCGAAATGGCCTCCAGCAGTCAAAGTCCCAGAGTGAGTCAGAAGGAAATGTGAGAGATGTTTTCATACCAAACCAAAGAAAAAGTTTTTTTCTAGCTCGTGAGAAATGACAGCAAGCTTTCACAGCCCCTCTTGTTTGCAAATAGCGGTTGAACTAAAACAGCCTGGAAGTCTGGGAGGCTGTTCCAGGTAATGGTTGCTTTGAAGAATACAATATAATGTGGGATCTAGACACTAATCTCTGTCTAGAACATCACCGTTTTGGAGTGAAGAAGGTGATCAGAGCTACAAGATAAAGAAAGATTTGTAGAGGCTTATGCAGGAATACTGAATATGGTGTTCCTCACTCATAAACCATGGCTCACTCTGAGACCCTGAGCTTGATGCTCCGACTCATTTGGGACCCTTCGAATCAGAATCCAATCACATGACACCCAGTTCTATGAACTGTGGTCTGACAGCAACTTTAGTTAAATCCCTTACAAACTGTCAGGGACTCCTAGACTCAATAAACCAGAGCTCTTCTAGTCCTGTAATTCTTAAGGAGTCTTCAGGGCCTAAATTAGGCTTCCCAGGTGGCTAAGTGGTAAAGAATCCATCTGTCAATGCAGGAGACGCAGGAGACACAGTTTGATCCCTGGGTCAGGAAGATCCCCTGGAGGAAGAAATGACAACCCAATCCAGCATTCTTGCCTGGAAAAGTCCATGGACAGAGGAGCATGGCAGGCTACAGTTCACAGTGTTGTAAACAGTCAGACATGACTAAGCATACATACACACACAGGGCCTAAATTATCCTGCAGGCATCCTTAAGTCCCTTCAGCACTTTCTAATAAAAAGAAAGGAATGGACAGTGCAGGCAAGAAACTTTTTATGTGAGACCAGATACAATTAAAGTGCTTAGGGTGTTTCTGTCATTGAGATTGAGAAGAGACAGTATGGTGAAAACGTTCTTAAGTTCTAAACAACTGCATACTGGGGACACAATGGTATTTACAATACTGCATATTTTTTAACATAGAAAAGGAAAAAGAAAAGAAAAAAATTTGGTGGAGAAGCGGGTGAACAGACATGCTCTTCAAGGCTCCTTACTATCTCTGGCATTCGGCTCTTTGCTGATGTTACCGGCATCCTAGATTCACAAACACTCTTTATGGAGCCACAATCCCAGTCTATAAAGGTGAGCATTATAAAAAGTGAAGTAAATCCAGAAAAGTGATTAACCAAAGCCATCCAACAATGGAACTAAAATAATTTAGTTTACCAAAATATTCTGCCCATACAAAATTTCCAAGGGCAGATTAAACTATTACTTTCAGAACCAACCCTGAAATCCTGTTCTTAGCTTTCCCGGATATTATCCACATCTCTGTTAAAACAGTAACTTGTGCTGAGAGTATCACCAACTCTGTTTATAGTCTGGAAAGTCTGAAGGGAAGGAGGCTTGGAATTCCCTCCTTTAAACTGGAAACAGTTTTATCCTAACATGGCCCCTAAACTGAGAACAATCAAACTTAGAAAAAAAAGATAGATTTGTTTGGTCTCTGCATTAATCTAATGTTCCCAAAACAAAGCAGAAAAAAATTGGGACAGCTGGGTCAAGAAGCAGAATGGGAAAACTGGACAATTGCACTGCATATTCTAAATCAGATGTTCACACTGCATTCTCATTCATCAGATTGAGGTACTGTGGATTCTGTATCCATCAAATTAGAAGTAAAAATACATATTTCAAAAAGAAATAAAGTGACTTACAGACTCAGGGTATCGATAATAATTTGAACAAAAAGTTGAAAGCTCCCTATTACTCAAGGCGACCCTTCTATGTAACAACCTCTCACTCCATGTTTAATACATCCGTTGGCTATATTCTCAAATGGTTGAGTTCTAATTACTAACAAACATTTTCACTGTTCTTATTACTGTGATTCAGATTCAAGAATAACACTTTCTTTTGTCAAAGCTGATTTCCCAGGAATAGGGTGCATTTTGGCGGGAACAGTGATGCTTCTACCACAATCCGTTGCAGCAGCTTTGCCCGATCCCCACTGTGACAACTGCATAGCTCGGCAAAGTGGCTGGAGAGGGGTCATGGCCCAAGCAGAGAGCGCTCCTCACAGACATGAAAGCTCTGGCTCTGGCCCCAGGAGGAGCATTCTGCCTCTTCAGAATGACCCCGGCAAGCCTACCTGAGTCAGCTCAGGCGGGAATGTGAGTCATGTGTGTTACCAAGGATACATCTTGCTGAACTGCAGCACGAATATCCTGAATGACTCAAGAATGAGATTCGTACCGTCTCATGGGGAAAAGCAATGGAAAGGTTTTTAGAAGGGTCACAGAACTGAGGAGTGGGTCGGATAGCTCCTTCGAGATGAGTCACAACCTGAGCCTGTTGGAGGAGAGAAAGGGACTGCCAGCATACCCGCGTCCAAAAGCATCTTCACAATCTCGAAGTTGGAGTGGGACACGCTGTAATGCAGGGCGGTATTGCCGTTGCCGTCCGCCATGTTGATGACATGACGCAGGACTTCCGGGGAGATGGCCTCAAAGGCTGCTATGTAGTCCCCCACCATGGCCGGGATGGCCGACTTCTGGCTGGACACGCGGAACCACTCGTGCTGGAGGGTGTTCAGACAGAACCGCTGCCAAGACACGAAGCGGTTGGCCATTAGTAGTTCTATTTATAGACCTTTCTGAGACCTAGCTGAAAGCCCAAGAAATCAGGCCTTTTATAGTCAAAGCACATGCAGATAGAATCCGGTCTCAAAGAACAACTAATAAAACCCAGAGTTCTCAGAGAAGCCTCAAATTCCAGACTGAAGTTTATCTTCTGATTTGCACACATGCACATGTTCTAACTTCTATACCATCATGCAAGAATTACACCACGATGCTCAAATTCTGACTCTGCTATCAACAAGCTGTTCAAAGCTGGGGAAGATACTTACTCTGTGCCTCAGCTTCCTCATCTGCAAAATGGGGGTAATAAAAATACCTTTCCTTCACCATGTTTGTGATGACAAATGAGGTAATACATGTTAAGTCACTTAGGCCAGGATCCATTTATTATTGAACTATTAATATTATGTAGGGAGGTTGGCCTTGAAAATGATTTTCATAGTAATCAGGACAGGAGAAATCATTTGACACAATTAGGTTGCCTTTTCCTGTCCAGTCCAACTTCAACTCCTTCAACATCCATCTCCACAGCACTAGGCTGGAGACCATAACCATGCAGGCACCTGATTCTTACTACATCCCAAATAAAAATGTTCAACCACAGAAAGAGAATAAAAAGCAAATTACTTTTTGCTGAAACAAATTAATTTTCCCCATCAGGATCATCTGCAGCTGGTCATCAGCCCCACTTGCCTTCCCTTAGGCTGTGGACACATGAAATTGGCATTTCATAGTTTGGGTCACTTGAATGAGAAGGGTCCTGACCAGGAAAGAATTCATCTAATTTTTCTTTTCTTCTGCTCACTCACATATTCAGATTTCAATTCCTCTGGATACCTCACTCAGAAGGAAGGGCAATTATGTCATTTGGGTGTCAAACTCTGTTATAGCTACATATTCAGTGTCCTGATATGGTTACATGGCCCTGGCGTTGTGATCATTCACAGTTGGGACTCTTCATAGCACAGTACTTTAAACATGTCTTAACTGAATGAATATTCAATTAACAAAAAATGGACCAATCCTGGAGTGTGTGCTAAGAATATGCTTGACAATTGGGGCCCCAGAAATGTTAAGTCTTCCCTGAGGATCACATAACCTAGTATTATGGGTAGAGTCCCTGGTGGCTCAGTGGTAAAGAATCCATCTGCCAATGCAGGAGACACAGGTTCGATCCCTGGGTCAGGAAGATTCCCTGGAGAAGGAAATGGCAACCCACTCCAGGGAAATCCCATGAACAGAGGAGCCTGGAGGGCTACAGTCCATGGGGTCACAAGAGTCCGACAAGACTTAGTGACTAAACAGCAGTAACAATGGGGAAGGTAAAAGTAAAAGTACATAACAGCTATAAAATCTGGGGTCTGAAAGCATCAGTTTTAAGTTCAGGTTAAACCTAGTGGGAAATATTAACACTGCAGTGACCTTTCCTGGTTTTATTATTTGTGACCAAGGTACAGACAGGCACTTAGTCTATACTGATAAGAGTTCAACATGTACATAAATGTCCCCCTAGCCCAGGGACTTCATTTAGTATTTCCTTCTGTAAACATCACTGCCATGCTCCTTTTCCAGTACAATATTTGAGGGTTAAGATTCAGCTGGCTCTGATAAATTTAAGTTTCTAAAGCAATATAAATAGATGTGAAAAGATAGCATAATTAAAAAAAAAAGACGCCATATAACAAGGTAATATGATTTAGTTGGGATTAAAAAAAACCATGGGATGAGAACTGAAGAGAGATATCATCAATTCTGAGCACTAACTAGCAGCTACTTATAATCTTTAGGGCTTCAGTTAAAGCAGGATAGACCAGGATAGAGTGTCTTGGTGGGCACACGTACGTCCTTCTCCTGTGCTAGCCATCACCAATTTTTCTTCAGATTGTGTTTGTTATATGAGGAAAACTATTTGCCTTTCTAGCATTAGGTAATTCCCTAAGTCTCTTCCAGTCTTAACATTTTGGTTTTATAACTCAACAATTTTGTGAAACCTATGAATCAACTTTCTCATCAGCTGCAGACTTTGATTATTTAACATAAAACTTCACATTAAATCTTCCACTAATATGCAAAGATTCAAATGAACATTACTATCTAGAATAACATGAAATGCTGTATCTTCTCAATGCACTGAATTCAAGTGTCTACCAGAAGGTTGGTCTAACCTATGAAAGAAGCTGCAAATCTAAACATCCCTAGAGCAACATACTTGGCAAGAACATGTGATTCACCATGGCCACGGAAATATTTATCTGTCCTATGTTATGCTACTCATGCTCCTTAAGGCAACTGTCTACCTCTTTGCTGCATGCTTCTAAATCTCTCAAGCTATGAGAGGCCAACAAGTGCAGTTATTTCTAGGTTTAAAAATAGTGACTGCCTGCATTCCACATCAGAGCGTAATATGCAGTTTCATAATTGAAAGGAATGCTGACCTCGGCTCAGATAGGTTTCTCTTAAAAACACAGGCTAACTTAAAAAATTCCAGGACTTTGCTTCCAGGATCACAAGGTTCTGTAAACACCCAAACATGCAGAAAGATGACGAATGGCTACAATTAGCCCTCCTTTCCATATGCAAGTATTTGCCTCACAGATGCTCAGCCCCCAAGAAAAGTACAGGCTGGAGAAAGGAGATCTGAAGTCAGGCCTGAGGGAGACATTCACAGAGTGGTCCGGAGTGCAGGGCAGCAGGATGGTCACTCTGCCTACACACACTAGGAACAGTCTGGGGGGAAAGAGTGCAGGCAACAACAGGCCAGGGGCAGCCTAGAGACAGGGTCTGTAGGTCAGACTCACCATATCCTTGCTGGTCAAAGCTTTGGGGTCATTTATATTATTTTTCAGTAAGTTGCATGCAGACAACATCTTTTCACTTAATTCATATCTAGAAAGAGGGAAAAATAGAAGAAAGAGTGCTCAAGACTGACTACAGAAGGAAAGGCATTTTTACCTCAAACTCTATAACCCTTTACAAGACCAGGAGCCCCAAGTCAACCTCAGCAGGCTGTGGTGGTGCTAGGTGCCCGCCTGGGAGAGTCCAGACACCCGAGGTCGGATGCTGCACACAGAGCCAAGGCCTCCAGCCAGAGCTCTGGCCTTAATTCATGAGGGTAGCTTTCAGTTTCACCACTTTGGCTTGTGTGGCATTATGGAGATTTTCCACTTTTTTGGTTCTAAGTTCTTAAACGTATTTTTACTCTTGAGGGGTTGAAGAGGTCTGAATTACCATACACCCATTATGCTGACCAGTAAACCACACATCTGAAATCACATTTGGTGACTCAGGAAGGGTTTGTTTAACCCACACGAAAACAGAGACTTAAAAGTCAGATGACATATGGTATATAAAACATACCTCAATAAAGCTTTAAAAAAAACAACAGATATCAAAATATTGAGCCATTTGAAAATACTTGAAGTATAAAGGCACTTACCTTATGTTAATGCAGTTAAATACTCATTTGCCAAATTAGTTTTCTGAAATGTTCTAGTTATACTTCACATGGTGAAAGAACATACTGAAATTTCCATCTGTTCTGCTCTCTCCTGTTCTATAAGCATTGATTCCATGTTTGCTAAGTCTTTAAAATTGGCTATACTTTTAGTACATGTTTTAGCCAACCAGAGTATTTGATATTTCAGCTGCTGTTTATGACAGTCCCAAAGCCATTCTTGTGGTGATCCCAATCACTCAATGAGCAACAAACTATGTGCATGTGACGGATCACATCATCTCTACAGTAAATGTAACCTTTAGTAGAGACCAAAAACTGTTCCTGTCATATAGTATCAGTATGGACCCATAATATCAGTAAGGACACCTGTATAAGGATAAATGGGTAATGCTAAAATCTGAAACTTCAAAATGTGAAACATGTTGGTTACAAAAAATTCTAATATGCCTTTAACTACAAACGGGGTTGTTAAAACAATGGAAGCTTTAGTGGTACTTAAGAGTTACGTGGATGGTGCCTCCACATACAAAGTTAGATATTAAACAGTTAAAGAAACAAAGGTGAACTGATACCAAGCCCTTCTCTTTGCTACCATAAGAGATCTAGCAGATTATCACTTCTGCACTTGTATCTACTAGCATCAGGACAAGAAGGACACACCTCTAAGGAACGGGTAAAGTTTAGCCCTTTGTGGGAGACTGGAAAGATTGATCTATTAAGATTCAATTGCACAACCTGCACAACCAGCCAATTCTACTGCTAAAGTACACCAAACGTGGGAAGGGGGAGGGGAGGGGGAGGATGTACCACACCTCTCTCTGATTTCCACCTTCTCAGGTTCACATTCTGGAACCTGCATTTCATCTTCCACCCTGGTGGACGTGAAACCTTCCACATTAACTGCGTGGTGGCCTTCCGCCATTCCCCGAGTGTCTTCATCCTCCTCTTCCTCCTCCTCTTCCTCGGGAGGATACTCAGGGACATCACACTCGTCATCTGACTCGGAAGAAGAGCTTTCATCTGAGCTGGAATCATCACTGGAAGTGGTTTCATACCTAGGTGGCAATTGGGAGTTCAGGAGATGCGAGGTACACCCATGAAGACCCAGTGACAGAATGTTTATGAAGGGAAAGCTGCTAAATGACTCCAGAACTTTCACCAGTGGCTTTCAGAGCCTGCACTTAGAAGTTTGGAGTAAGGTCTACTTAGAAATCTGGTGGTTCTGAATGGGTTCTCACTTAAAAGGGATAACCAAGGTTGCTGAGCAGTATCAGATAATCACTTGTAGAAAATAATATGTATATATATAGCACCTCTGGCTTAATGTTCATCAAAGGAAACTTATTTTATGGAAACCAATTCTGTGGTTGTTCATCTTTCCTGTTCCTTTTCTTTCCCCTTTTCATTCTTCCTGTTTTGTACCTTTAATTCTCCCATTGTCCAAGGTGAACAGATTATGTAAGTGACCAACAGTTCCTCTGGTACACACTCTCCAAACTGTGGGACACATTACCCAATAAAACGTTAATGACTTGGAAAGCAGACACCACTAAGTTAAACCTTTATGGCACACTTTACAATAAATATTATCTCAACTAACTCTGCACTATTGTTTCTTGTTAAGCCCATGTATGGATTAATAGGATTAACTGCTTTGATTCAACTTTAAGAGGACAAACAGGCTTGACTATTTATTTACCTTGGCCAATTACAAGAGAAGGAATAAAACAACTAAAACACATTCCATTTAGAAAATGAAGAACTGATGGCATGGTGAGGTTACTCTTCCGGCGAGAGGCCCTACTATTTTGTTTGTAAGCCTGGAGAGCCAAGCACAATAACCCGTCCTGAAGGAGTGGATGACTGTCCCTGGCTCATGGAGCAATGCTCTCAGTCTTTGTTTGTTGCTCAGTCCTGCCACAGGCAAGTTACAAGCTGTCCAACAATGCAGGCAACCTGCTGCCTGCTGCTTTCCTTGAAGACCATTTGTTTCACATCAAAGATGAGAGGATATAAATGACTCAGCTTCATCAGGTATCCTTTCAAGAGCAAAATATCCTTACAGAGAGCAAGAAGAGAAAAGAGAGGCCCAGATGCACCTTTATGAGGAGGGAATCTTCTGTCACCCTATGCAGCAGCATCCTAGACTAGCACCTTTAAATAGGACTTCGGTAGACAGGAGGCAAAGGAAACAGACCACATATCAACACTAGTACCTCCATCTTTCCTTACCCTCCATTAATGCCAACAAACTGAAGATTCTTTTTTGCTCCATTTGAATCTTTGTTGGCATCTTTCTTCTTCATGATGGACTTCAGTGTACCTTCATTATTTGTACATACTGTGGAGAAGTGAATCATGGTGATCAAAATTAATATAATTCATACCCATATAAGTAAGCGAATAGGTATTCTTTATGTACATTCATTTTTTATTTATGTAACTAGAGATCTTGGCATGTATATATGAGAAGCTTGTCCAAAATTCATTGGAAAATTGAGTGCATGCAAAGAAAATAATTCAAAGTTCCATTAATAACATTCTTTAAATGGAAAAAAAAAAAATCCATTAGTCCTTCCAGACATAACAAAAGCAGTGACAACTAGCATCTATACCAGGCTTTACTGTTTATAAAGTGATGTCATATCTCACTTGATCCTCAAAAACCATCAAGGCACTAAGACAGGGATTAGTATTAGTCTTTTTTTTTTTAAGTTGAGATAAACCTAGAAAAATTTATACCTGTCAGACTGTGAACAGTGAAATGCTGTTTAAAATATTTTGTAATTTGCAACATCAGATGAGTTTTCTTAAGGGGACCTCATGGCTTTTCTTTGATAATCTTAAGAGATATTCTAGGCCTACTTCCTAACAACTGTGTAATCATTCTTCCAGGTCAATTTATAAGGAACATGGGCATTAGACCGGAATGCTGACAACTCTGGTCCTAGAATCCTGATGCTGAGAAGGGTTGTGAGTGAGGAAAGTTACCATAGAGGCCAGCGGCTATCTGGTCGTCTGTCAGGTTCACTGGAGACAGCGTGCTTTCCTGAGTGGGGAAGGTATCCTGGCTGCCGATGGGCTTCCCTTCCATGGTCCCCACCTCCTGAAGGGATGTCTGTGAGTTTAATGGCCCTCCTGACTGAAGGCCTCCACACTTACAGGTGTATTCCAAATTACTGCCTGTGAGGAAGGAGAAGGATGTACAAATGTGTGATGTTAGGACCAAATAAAATGGGCTAAATGGTTTTAAAAAAAATTCTTGCAATTCATCATTTTCTCAAGCACTTTTCTGGTGTCTTCTTTCTGCATAATTAGCACTACTATACAAGCCATCTAAAAATCAGACCCCCAAGGCCTTCTTGACTCTGATCTCTTCCCTTTGACCACATCCGGAGGGGTCCTTCTAACTCTGCAGCGGCTCTCTGCTGTCTGTCCTGGCGCTGCCACCTTACTTTACACTGGATCACCAGTGCAGCATCCTGACTGTCCTCTCCCATCACATCTGCCCTCTGCCACACTGCCACAGAGGGGAACTGCCACTCAGCTCAAACCCCACCCTTATTCCAGCTCAAACGCGACTTGAAAACCTAAAAATCTCTCTACCACTCAGAAAACATAGTTCATGCTACCAATACTTAGCCAGATAATTTAACATCTGCCATTTGGCACTAGCTTACCTCTCCAAGTTTATTTCCTGCTATACCTGTGGTCTTTTTGGGGTGCATCCCAGGAAGTGGAACTCCTCCCAGTGTAGAAAGTGGGGTCTCCTGTTTTCTTACAAGCACACCTGCCTTAGTTTACTCTCTTCTACCTGTTGCTGCTCCTTCCCTATCCTCCCTCACAGGGCCAACCCTCCCATGACTTCCTCTTCCAAGCCTTCCCTCATCTCCCCACTGGAAATTAACTCTCCTTTCTCTGAACTCTCAAGGCCCATCTTTGAGACTCTCCTACAAGATCTATAATACAAGGTACTAGCTGATTCCTGTGACAATCTTAGACTCCCTTCTTGTCTGTAAATATTTTAAGGGCCTACATAACTAATCTAATCAACTTTGTTTCTCTCACTGCATCTTCTAGATTGCTTTTGCTTATGTTAGGTAATTAATATTTGTTCACTGATGAAGCAGAAAAATTGCATTATTATTATATAATTACCACACACACACACACACACACACACACACACACATATATAGGTACAGCACAGAATTTGTGGGCTTCCCAACTGGCGCTAGTGGTAAAGAACCCGCCTGCCAATGTAGGAGACATAAAACACAGGTTCGATCCCTGGGTTGGGAAGATCCCCTGGTGGAGGAAATGGCACCCCACTCCAGTATTCTTGCTTAAAGAATCCCATGGACAGAACAGCCTCGTGGGCTACAGTCCATAGGGTCACAAAGAGTCGGACATGACTGAAGCGACTAAGCACACACACACACAGAATTTTCAACGTGGCTGACATTTCCTAATCCTGTTCATCAACAGCACAATGCTTCCTCCTTTAGTTCTGTAGGCACTGGGACCTCTCTGGTGCTTTCTTTACAAATCCACCTCCCAACTCATCATGGACAGACAGTACTGAATGCAGCCCTTCAAATAATGTTCAACTGCCCCACGATCTGATGTGACCCCTGACAGCAAGTAAGAAATGTCTCCAGTGCCTTTTCAGGCTCCAAAATCACTGTGGATGGTGACTGCAGCCATGAAATTAAAAGAGGCTTGCTCCTTGGAAAGAATGTTATGACAAACCTAGATAGCATATTAAAAAGCAGAGACATCACATCACTGACAAAGGTCCGTCCAGTCAAAGCTATGATTTTTCCAGTAGTCATGTGTGGATGTAAGAGTAGGGCTATAAAGAAGGCTGAGGGCTGAAGAACTGATGCTTCTGAACTGTGGTGCTGGAGAAGACTCTTGAGAGTCTCTTGGACAGCAACGAAATCAAACTAATCAACCTTAAAGGAAATCAACCCTGAATACTCACTGGAAAAACTGATGCTGAAGCTAAAGCTCCAATACTTTGGCTAGCCAAAGCAAAGAGCTGACTCATTGGAAAAGACCCCGATGCTGGGAAAGATTGAAGGCAAAAGAAGAGGGTGACAGAGGATGAGATGGTGAGATAACATCACTAACTCAATGGACATGAGTTTGAGCAAGCTTGGGGAGACAGTGAAGGACAGGGAAGCCTGGTGTGCTGCAGTCCATGTGATCACCAAGAGTCAGACATGACTTGACCAAACAACAGCAACAACCAGTGCCTTTGCTTTACTTTAGGTAAACAAAGCAGGACATTTCTCTTCATTCCTCCTTTTCTAACTTCATTCATCATTACTTCAAAATTACGACAGTAACCTCCAGAGTCTCAACAGTTAATCCTCAAGTGCCAAAACACTTCCTAGAGAAACACTTTCACTAGGCACTTCCGCATTCAAGAACCAACAATGATTTTTAAAATGCAAATACATTAATAGTTTTATTGTTATGCAACAGTCACAAAAGTAGAGAATGGTATAATAAATCCCTCTGTTTCCATCACTAGCTTCAATAATGATCAGCTATCTGATTTCATCGATACTGCCTCCAGCCATTCCCAGTGATTCTTCTGAAGCAAAAGGTGAAGATCCTATCACTTTCATTCATAGATATTTCAGTATATATTTCTAAAACATTCTTAAAAAATAAGCATAAAGCTAAAACCATCAAATCTAAAAAAAAAAATTTGAAATTATTATATATCTAGTCAGTATTCAAATTTCTGCAGTGATCTCTTAATGTTTTTTAATAGTGTTTGAATCAGAACCTCAGTCCTATATTTCCATTGGTTACTATGGTTTTTAAGTCTTTTAATCCATAGTTCTCTTTCCTTCTAAGCATAGCTTTAAAAATATTTTTTAAATTGATGTATAATTTATATAAAATAAAATGAACAGAATTTCAGTGTAGAGTTTGATGAATTTTGGTAAATATACATGCATGTGTGAGCACCCCCCTAATTTAGCCACAGAACATTTCTGACAACCCAGTAAATACACACTTCCCACCTGCTGTCCTTTTCTAGAAAATCTTCTCACTGGAGGCAACCACTTCTCTTCTCCAGAACTTAGTTTTGTAAACTAGGGCTTTTAAAAGTTCCTCCAGTCAAGGTCCACCTTCTCAAGCAGGTGCCTGAGGATCATTCATGGTGAACATGGACAGCTTCTTCTTGCCTGGGGTAGTTAAACTGCTCAACAACTCCTAACCTCTACTCACTCAGAGTGGTCTGGTGACTTAGTAACTCTCACCTCTCTGCCCTTCCTTATGAGGCTGTCTTAACAGGCCTGGAATTTCAGCTTCCTTTACCAGCAGAATTCCACTCATTCTTTTCAAGGGTTGGCGTCATTTCTACTTCCTCTAGCCTTTACTGTTACACAAAAATCTTTACCCCTCGCTGTTCTGCAGTGCTTACTGTCCAGACCAGAATACATCCTGCCCTCTGTTTCCTTGGTCTTACACATCCCTTATGTGAGAATGTAAGCTCCTTGAAGTCCCTCCATGCTACATTATCTGTGTCCTCTGCAGTGCTCTGAACAGTGCTGGACAACTTAAAGATTTCAGTAAGTGCCTGTGTAATTCAACAGAAAGTCACAGGGATTGTTAAGTCTAACGAGCAAGGCAAAGAACAACGATAAATGTTAAACTAGTGCTCATTAGCTGGATCAGAGGAAATTTGTTACCTTTACTGTCAGAAAATATTTTTCAGATTGTGTTGAAACTCTGGCTGCTCTTGAGTGACCCAGAAACAATTGCCTGACCTTGATAAAGACCCATTGTGTTTAGTGGGCATAGATAATATGACACACTGCTGTGTTCAAGTAAACCACATGAAAAGTTCAGCCAATAAAGTCAAAACTAAAGTGGCCAACAAAATTCATTGGTCTCAACCTGGTTGCCCTTAGAATGCTTGAGTTGGGTGTGAGATACAATGAACTATCTGCAGATGGATCCAGTATTTGTGGTTTTTAAAGCTCTACAAGTGAGACTTCCCTCAGTGGTGAGGAATCGCCTGCCAATTCAGTAGACACAGGTTTGGTCCCTGGTCTGGGGGAATCTTGTATGCCTCGGAGCACTTAAGTCCCTGTGCCACAACTATCAAGACTGTGCTCCAGGGCGGGGGTGGGGTGGGGTGGGGGGTAGGGGGTGGTCTGTAACTACTGAAGCCCGCGAGCCCTAGAGTCCATGCTTCACAGCAAGAAAGGCTACCACAACAAGAAGCTGTGTGCTGTAGCTGGGGAGTGGCCCTTACTTGCCACAACTAGAGAAAAGCCCACTCAGCAACAAAGACCCAGCACAGCCAAAAATAAATGAATAAATAAAAAAAAATTTTTTTTTAATTCTGCAAGTGATTCTAATGTGCAGCCAGGATTAAGAACCAGTGAATTAAATTAACCAATCAAAAATTTGCTGAAAACAATGTAAAACTTGACTGCGGTAAATAAGAGTTTAGATTTTCCTTTAAGAGTCAACTCATTGGAAAAGACTCTGATCCTAGGAAAGACTGAAGGCAAAAGGAGAAGGGGGTGGCGGAGGATGAGATGATTAGATAGCATCACCAACTCAATGGACATGATTTTAAGCAAACTGGGAGACAGTGAAGGACAGGGAAGTCTGGCATGCTGCAGTCTACAGGGTCACAAAGAGTCAGATATAACTTAGCAACTGAACAACAAAAACTGATTTCACTCTATCAACTTAGACCATGTAAATTATCAGGAATTATTGGTGCTTTAGGTTAGCAGTCCTGGACCACTAATGGTAGAAATCCCTGACTAACAGTAAATGCCATGCAAACAGTAAGGGTAAAACAACAGGAATAATCACCAAACACCTTCAGAATTCTGGTACACTACCCAAGCTACTCAAAATTCCCACAGTGGGCAATAGTTGTGCAGGTACCACTGGGGAATGAACAGGGAAGGGGACAACTGCAATCTTTGGTCATTAACTCAAACTTATAATGGCCATAAATGCCAGTAAAGCATGAGCTCCGTTTTACAACTTGACCAGATTAGTGATAACTAAGACACGGCAAGTGACAGAAATCTGTGATCCAGAAAATAAGAGCATCCTTGAAGCATTAATCTAATTCTAAAGTACACTTAGCATGTAATATATGGATAGTTTTACTACAAGCTAAGGCAAAC